GGATGGTCCTGAACCACTGGGGGTCATTGAGACATAAGAGGACTGGAAACAAGCTAAGGACAGAGGAGACACAGAGATGGATAGAAGACGGAGAGATTGTCCGCTGAGGATAAGCGGATGTTTGTAGGCAGATTGTAAAAAGTTTTTCGAGTCATTCTGCCTACAGTAATCTCTCACGTTTCTTTGGACGATGAGTCAACCACCTCTACTACCTAAAACTGTCAAACACAAATTCCTCAGATCTCAAACACAAACTTCAGCCTATTCCAGACAAGATCAGTCTAAAGGGAAAAAAAGAAAAGACTGTAAATAACATTTTTTATACATTTTGTATCTTTTTCATTGGAGATGAAGATGAAATCTCTTGTGACGTTTTCTTTTTTTTAATGATTGTGTCCATGTGAGGTTGTGATTGAGGTCAGTGCGAGTGCAGTCTTGTTTGTGGCTGAGGGAGAGATTCCCCCCTTGAAGAAAAAAAAAGAAACAGAAAACCCCCAAATTTCCCCTTGAAAACACATTTCCTCAAAAACCTTTCCTCAAACATGTCAACTTTGTGTATAGCATCAGGGGTCCGGCAATAGAATCTGATGAGATTATCTGAACCATGAAATGTGGTTGAAGGGAAAATATCAAAGTAGCGAGAAGTGATTGTAAATACAGGACAGGATTATAATAAGAGAATAGATTTGATGGAATGAAATGTGTAGAAGAAGGTAAAACAACGCATGAAGGTTCAGACTTCAGCTTGTAAAGGTCAGTCACAAGTGTCAAAGTGTCATCTCTATCAGGAGATTGTGCTGTTTTGTGATCCACTGTATATGAATGTGACCTCTTCATCTGTCTGTGTGTGTTTGTGCCTGGTGCTGTCTGAAGCAGACCATATCAGTCGACTGATATCGCAACAACATATCTCTAGTGTTCTGGGGGGTGAAGGGAGATGTATCTCTGCCTCTCTGCACGAGGCTGTATCACATAACAACCATTTAAAGCCCCTCAAGGTATCTTTGCATTTTGATGCAACACGACTTAGTCTGCCTCAGGAGACGCCGCAGGATCCGTCAAATCTCTCCAGCAGCATCCAGGAGACTTATTTATAGAAGCTTCTCAAGCAGAGGTTCTGTGCAACTCCAAGCCAAAGGGACAACTGCTTAATATCTCCATAAAACATCAACCATCCCAAGTTTTCTCTGATGAAACTGAAACTGTGCAGGGTGTGAATGATATGGATGTAAGTCACAGTTTTGTTTTAATCTTGATTTTCTTTTCTTACTCATTGTACCATCGAAAATGTCTAAAGTGAACATGAAGGAGAACGGCTAGAGGGAACATATTATGAATCGCAGTGTGCTCATGTGTTTGGAGACCTGCAGTACATATCCAGCATGGTATCAACCTATAACAGTATTAGCTCATGTCTATAACACATGACTGCCATCCCAGAATTATATTGGCTGAACACGGCTTCTGTGAAATTACTTACATCTTTTACATTTGAGACATTTCTCAGAAAATAGGCTTTATTTCAGTAGAATTAAAGCTAATGCTAATTCCGATCTCATCCAACATGAGATGTCGTTAATGAAGAGGTCTAGAGCAGAACACATTAATACAGATTTGCTCTCGTTGTTTAGGGTGCTGCACAAAGATCTGACACAGCTTCTGCAGCTGGGCAGCAGTTTGCAGAGGAGAGGAGAAGAGAGGAGGAGGAGAGAGGAGAGGAGAGGAGAGGGGAGATGTCAGTTATGTCAGCTCTAAAAGCCTCTTAAGTGGTTTTGAGATGCTGGTCTCTCCACCTGCAGCTGCTGCAGCTGTTGGAGCAAGCATAGAGAACAGGCCTGAAGGTAACATTACACAGGCGTTTGTAGGCAAAAGGAGACAGGCAGGCAGTCTTCACCAGTCTTGAGAAGGATGTTTAAAACATTTTTTAATGAAAGACAAAAATGCAGTGGTAGATAAAAACATTAGGGTTTCAGCTCTGTCAGATTGTGTTGTGACAGTCAAACATTTCAACACTAATGCAACAAGAGAAGAAGTAAATATAAAACCCTGGGATAAAATAGAACACAATGATTGTAAAAATAAATAATATATAAATAAAGCAGACAAGTTTTGAGGAAGAACAAATTAGGTTGAAAACCATGACTGTGTGAAGGTAACCGCAGGGAGGAAGGCGTGGATGTTACTCATCAGTGAGAAATCAAACAAATACAAAGAGAAATGGATGGAAACGCAAACAGCAGAAACAAACACACACATCTCACACACTGACATTGTCACACCGTCATTCTGTCATTCCCATTCCCATTCCTCTGGAATGTGACAAATGACTCTTCTTGTAACTGTGTTATTGCCAAGTGCTCCTGCAGGGGAACACTGCCAACTAGTCCTTTAAAAGAGCAGTACACCTACAAAAATCCAACATTCATTCCCTCTTACTCTTTCATTTCCCTTTGGTTTTTTCACGGTCCATTTTTTTCCAACAGACAATACCTTTAACTTGTACAGACATGAGATTTATTTTATCTATCGATAATTTATTGACATTGTATTGATTATTTATGTTGCCATTTTGTACGAGAGGCTGTTGTCAAAGAAGTATTTGTGATTTTTTTTGTTCAGATGCTCCTTTTGTTTACATTTGATGTTCCTTTGGATCTGCTAAAATGTGTCTGTTTACACACAGATTTACAAACCGGTGAAGATAAAAGATCCTCACTGAGCGTTTAAACATTATTGGCCTTAACATCTGCAAAATAAAAGTTTATTGAGGCAACACTATGGCAACTCTTTTACTTTACAATAGCAGCTTCAAAATGTTTTTCATGGCTCACAGACCTGGAAAAGGCTGAATGGAGCTGCTTTCACTCCCACTCATGCTTTATGGAACTGTGGTGATCGGGTATGATCTCCCACAGGAGGTTCGAGGTGACTTCTTTTGAGTTTGCCTTCCTCCCTCGGAGTGTCATGTTCAATACTTCAAACACACCGAAAACTGAGAAGCTGTCTCACCTCGCTGTCTTACCAAATTAGCACGTTCACTCGATAATCACTTTTCCATCACTGCTGATCAAAAACTGTCTATTACTCAGTCATTTGACCTGACTGTACTTTTTAAAATCTTTTTTGAGCTTTTTTGGCCTTTATTTGATAGGACAGAGGGAATGGGGGTGACATGCAGCAAATGGCTGCAAGTTGGATTCAAACCAAGGTCACTGCAGAGGCGTAGAGCCTTGTTATGGCCCTTTGTATCCATCTTTATTATAGGTAAAACCCAGATGATACTGGGTGTTAGTGGGACCAGTCGAAAATTGACTAAATAACAGAATCAGGCCCGGAAAGTTCAGAGTAAAGCTGAACTGTTGATCAGTTAAAAAGACTAATTGAAAACCAGAGTTTATATCCGATATCAAGCGAGGAAACTTTGAAAATATCAATAATTTCATATAGAGTTTGGAGAATTTTGTTACAGCGGCAGCTTATCTGTTTCAGGAAGCTGAGAATCATGGGTAATATCCACTGTTCAGTTGTGTTTCAGTTCAATGACTGGGACTACACAGCCAGTGCTCGATTTCTCAGACTCAGAGCCCAACAGAATTAGACACCATGGTATCCCTGCAGAGGGCGCTGTTGCTCGGTAAAAGTTACACAGTGTTGCTTTAAATTGGTCGATTTCAACAAACCTCAGGAGCACGAGTCTGGTGCGAATGTGTTTTTCAGAGCAGTAATTTTGACATGTGACAGCAGGGGAATAACAGGTAACTAATGAAGCTAATAGGTGGGCGGAGCATCTGTAACGTTTTCAGACTGAATGTCAACACGTCTGTGCTGAGGCTCACTCTGGGTGTAAATAGTGCAGTTATATCCCAAATTAAACCTTTTTTCTTCGTCTTCACTTTCATATCCAAGGTTTCATGATCCAAGGCTGAAGCTTCACGAGCACAAATTCCAATTACTTACCTGCTTTCACACGCGCCAGGCAGTGAACACTGCAGCTTCAGGATAATATCATTTGGACCAATAGGAGGCACACAGGTGGGGGAGACACAAAGACTGAGCTGAGAGGAGCTGGTTGTGATGTGCTCTGAAATAAAGAAAGTGAAAGAAGAAAGAAACAGAGGGAGAGCACAGCGGGGAGAGGAGGAGGAGGAGGGAAGGTCGATTGTCTTTGTTGACTTGTGTGTTCTTTATGGGATGTTGCTATCCCGCCAATCCCTTGCCGACGGCGGAAACAGCTGTACCCTGTGACCGCAGAAAAATGTTGGACATTAAAAAAAAGGCTTATTCCTAAGACTGTGTGTTTATATTATTCCTGAGAGAGTGTGTGTTTGTGTTCTGTTTGATATTCATGAGAGCAGATGTTTTGGATGCTAAAAAGCAGATGAGAGAGAACTTCCTGACTGAGAGACATGTTTTTCTGGAGGGCACTCCATTGGACTGGTTTTGACTCTTAACGTATCCCGTCATGTTCAGAGGTACAGAGATGTTCAGCTGTTACTTGATTCCAAGTAAAGAGTCGGTTCAAGATGGAGGCACAGAGCTCAGACTGAATATTAAACCTGATAAACGACTAAAGCAGAAACTGGTCCTCACCCATGGGGCGTGATTAAATGATGAAATTCGAAAGCAATGTTTGATTCAAATCACAGATGAGACCCAAAAGAACAGATTAGGAAGGTTTCTCAGAAATGTACTGGACATTTTCCAGCCAATTATGACATCAAATCCATTCAGCACGGAGCTAAGAGGTGATGAGCTCAGAGGGCTGAAAGTAGGTGGTTATAGTAAATTTGATTCTTTCCAAAGTTCAAAAATAATTCTCCCATCACCTCCAAAGCTCAGAAAGCTAGGCTAACCCCCTTAAATCTCTTGTCGTGTAACACAGAGGAGTTTTAAGTGAGAAAACAAAAAATCAGCAATCACCCATTGTAGTTTCCAAGTACTTCTGGCCACATGATAATAATATTCATAGTCTGCAATCAGATTAAACTTTGTACCAAATGCTAATTTATTTACAAAGCAAGAAAAGTGATAGAAGTATGTATACATTCTCATATTAACATGCAAACAAGCCCCAATAGAAACATCCGTCATCTCCTCTATCGTGATTAAATCTATCTCAGTACATTCTTTAAAATTCTCCTCAGACTTAAACATCAATGAATATTGTGTGATTTTATTCAAACCTTTCGTTTGGTTAATTTCTACAAAATGTGCAAAGTTATTCATTACAGGTATTATTAGCATTTTATACAACATGTACTTTTTTAGTTTTTTTCTAAAATTAGTAGCTTTTTTAGTTAATTTCAAATAAAAGCATCCCTTTGAATTTCTCTGATAATTTCTTAAGGTTATCTGGGGACTGGTTGTTAGTTCTTGTGATCATTTGGAATAAAGTCATTCATTGTAGTTTTGAAAAGTGCTATGATTATATTTTTGAGTGGTGTGGAACCCAAGTAATCGTACTTCTATTTTCAAGTAGCAGTACTTCTACTTGAGTATTCCCTCTCATTAATTTCAAAGGGATTTTATCTTATGTGTAAAATCAACTAATTTAAACAAACCTCTCTTTGCATTCAAGTACGAAAACAATGTACAGTATAAAAATAGTTAATCCCATATCGACAAAACAGTAAATTAGTGAAACACGCACTGTTAAAAAAATCGATTAAATCAGTTCATCCTGTCGGATCAGATATTTTTTCCTCTTCATCGCTGCTGCTGCAGGAAGATGGCGGCACGTCCTCTCCCATTCTTTTTAACTTGGCTTTGTAATACGCCTTCTTCATCCTGAACGCCTTCTCCTTCTGGCGCGCCGCTCTCCTCTTCTCCCTCACCAGCTCCTGCTCCCATGCCAGCACCTTCATCCTGTTCTCCCACTCCAGGATCTTCATCTGCTGCTGCTGCTCCAGAGCCTCCGCTCTCTGATGGTGCTCCAGCCTCGACAGCTCCGTGGAGTCGCGCTGGCCGGCCTCCTCCATCTCGCTGCCTGACGACTGGAGACGCTGGCTGATGAGCCTGGAGGTGCCTGAGAGTTGAAAAAAGGTCAGTGAGGGGAACTTGGTGCTCCTGATGATCCAGAATATGTTGTTTAAAAAAAGAGTTTTTACTGATGCATGAATTTAGTTCCTCAGTACAGATTGAAAATTATAAACCCATTTAAATGATCCTATAAAGCTCATGATTTGTGCAGCGGTTAGCACAGTCACCTCACAACAATAAGAAATCTGTTAATATAATAGATTTATCTATGAGAGTCCTGAGAGTTTTTTTTAAAGCTATAACTCAAAACCCTGTGCTTGCACTCCAATAGCTCCTGCTTGTGTTTTGACTTCATGCGCTCCAGCTTCAGCTCTTCTCACACGTGAAACATCAGCTCTCGGTTAACGATAGGAAAATGAACCCATAGGTTTTGCTTGGTCTCAAGGGTTAGATTATATAAATTATACACAGCCATACACTGGCGACCTGTCCAGGGTGTACCCCGCCTCCGCCTAATGTCAGCTGGGATTGGCTCCAGCTCCCCGATGATTCTCAAAACGATAAGCAGTAGAGATAATAGATGGATGGCAGGGATTTCTATAACGGGTGTGAAGATGACTTCCCAAAGTCACGAAATCAATGATTTAAATATGTGGTGAGAAATTACATGAAAAGAATTGTGTTAGCAGAATGTTGAGTGTCCAGCTTAAATACTTCTTCAAGACTCTGAACACTACTGGAGGGATGGAGCATCTTTCTTCCTCAATTAGTTTGATGATGGTGGAAAAGTGTGATGTCTAACATGTTGTTCCAATATCTACCGCAGGTGTTTAACTGAGTTGAGATAAAACATGACTGACATCACTGACTCATTGATTCACATCACATTCAGACTCAAACTCATTCAGAGACCCTCAGGAGCTGCCTGGACGTTTTACCACTCACTCACATTTCAGCTTTTTCCTCTGATTTACCAGCCAATAAAAATACTGTGGAGCTGAGCTCTTTACAGATCTGTCTTAATCAGGTTAATGCTGGAATATCACATGTTCATTCATAGGTCTGGACCCACATCAAATAAGTGTTTCTGGGCAGTAAATAGTGGAGCAGCTGGCACCGCTTCATGTGTGGGTACCTGCTGCTGTGAAGTAGGCGGAGGGGAATGTCACATCCTGCAGCTCTGCATTGTGGGAGGTGGAGTTGTTTGTGGGGCCGTGGCGCAGATGTGACCAGTCGCTGCCTGTCGCTCTGTCCAAAGTGTCCCGCTGGAGGCAGATGGCCACGTGCTCCTTGGTGTCCTCAGCCTGAGAGGAAGGGAACAAGGGGATTTGAGTGGTTGTGTCTTGCTGGTGTGAGGCGTTTGTCATTTCTAGCATTAATGTTGTGTTGTGTATCTGAGCTCCTCCAGGTTCATTTAAATTCTGCAATTGTGTCTAAAATAAATGTTCGACAAAACAATCACTTTTAAAAGGTTTACCCGACTGATGCTGCCGTTCATCTGCCCTGCAGCGTTTATCATCATCACATTTCCTGCTTATAAGCAAAAGGAGACAGGGAGGGTCTGCAGATGAATACATTTCAGGAAAATGAACAGAGAGCGTCTCCTTCTGGTGGAGCCTGGTATAACATCACCTTCACACAAACACACATGTATCCAATACACTTTACAGCATCATGGCAGCACTTAACTGTTGGTGTTTACAACCAAGACTTTATAGAGTCATGACGAATAACTGCAAATTAGATATGTGCATGTGAAGCAGTCGTGGGTATATTGTTTTGAATGAACTGGTCCTTTAAACATGGAAAAATGAATTTCAAACCCTTCAAAGATTTCTCCTCACCATGTTCTCCTTTTACAACGTATGTTTGATTTTGTTTTATATCTATACTTGCACAAATACACCAGCAAATTCCTTGTCCGTATATATATATACATTTAGATTTTTAGATTTTTTTTTGATTTACCAAAATAGGTGATGGTGAAACTTATTCAATAAGAGGTTTTAATAATACACCTGTTAAAAGTTGCCAAACGTCATGAGAAACATTTCTGTATTTACACCTAAATATGATGACTGTAATGTTTCTATGAGGGTGCATGTGTTTGTAGGTTAATTTTGCAGTTATGAAGTTAATAATATTACAAAACGGGGTATCTGACAGGTTTAAATTATGAGGGCAGCTCATGGATAAATATATTACTGGGCAACTTAAGTTTCTCAGACAAGAAATAACCCCAAACACACAGTAATTACATCATCATGACTGTTATTACTGCATCAGAGTTCTTCAGACTAGTTTTTGACATTTTAAATGTATAATTCCACAAAAGTCAGGCTGTGAAAATCACACCAGATTATTATGAATCCCAAACTGTTACATTACAACATGTGTCTGTTGTTGTCATGCAGAAACACATTTACATAACATGCACACAAACCAGCTGAGGAAACACCGGCCATCATCTGAAGCGTGTCACATGAACTCAGAGGTGCACGTGTCTGTGTTAAACTGCAGGAGTAGTTGTGATCACTGAAGCCCACGCAGTGGTTTTACCTTCCACGAGTTTGCGCACCGCAGCTTTGTGACCAGCTCCTCCTGCGTGGCTGGTGAGCGCAGCCTCGCCCATGGTCTGCAGCTTGATGGATTTGCAGCAGGCTCTGCACCGAGCGAAGTGGATGTCCTGCGCGTCCTTCACCAGCCAGTCCTGGTAGATCTGCTTAGCGAGCCACGAGTCCTGGAACTTACATTTCCCAGGCATCGTTTAGCCGTGAAGCTAGCAGCACCGCTACCTGACTGACTGACGGCCAGCCAGCCCGCTGCGACACGTTCAGGGCGGCTCGGATCATCCCAACTCAGTGGGGACCACCGGACAAGTCAATGGAAATGAGTCCCCGTAATCTAAATACACACATCTACTAAAGCTACTTCAGTGGACTACTTTTACACTCTAAATTAGCTCAGGACATTCATTCATTCTTTTTTATTGATTTCGAAAATAAAAAAAGAGAAATTATACAACAAGTTAAAAAAACAGAAAGAAGAATTGTTGTATTGTTGCTGTGAATAATTAATAACAAACTCTGTTTACGAACTCAAGTGCAGCTCGTAAACCACCACAGAATATATATAACTCTTTTATTTAGTAATAATTATAATTACAATAGTAATAATAATTCTAACAATAATAGATATAAAGAACAGTACTAATATGGCACACCAAGTAAATTCAGGTTTATGCCTTCAGAAAGAAGTGTGTTAATAGCTGAGATGTAAAAGATAACACAAAGCCTTTCCTCAGGTCATTCATTCCAGAGCCATGGGACCCCACCATTGTAAGAAGGAAAGACCCCAACATGTTAGGGTCACACTCCTGACTCTGATCAGCCTGTGGCAACTTATCATTAAACCTACACAGGAGATTTACCATCTTGTCCTTGTTCTAAAATTTGAAAAAAAAGACAACAACAATATTCAGGCTACAAATAAAAAAACTAAAATTAACAAAGCACACAAAAAACAAGATTTGGGGAATAGACAATCTATCAAAGCAAATGTAACATAACTAACTGTAACACAAAGACTATCTTGAAAAGACAGAGACTGGATACAATTGGTTAACATGGTGATTATTTTGGCAGAAAAACCTGATGGATGAGGATGTTTTAAATTCAATTTTCAAGGTAGGGACAGTTTACAGCCTGTGAATTTATGAAATATTATATGTATTAATATAATCCCCAATCATTTATATAACCTAATTATATTAATCATATGTGATATTTTACTTGAGAGACCCTCTATATACATACATAAATATATATAGATAAAACTTCAGTTCTAATGTTCAACCAGCTTGAGATATCCAGCCCAAAACTGAAATACATTAATGTTCAGTAGTTTCTATGAGTATCAATTTCAAAATAAAACCTTTTTCATAATGTTTTAGCTTCTGTAAAAACATTATAAAGAGTTTATCATCTGCATGTTTTTTTTTTTATTTCAGGTGGAATTCCACCTGAGTGCCTGTGACCGACACTAAACTAATAACTTTCCAGAAAACACCTAAACGCATCACATCCCAGCTGCAGTCGGTCACATGTATCGTTTCCTCCAATAAAAATACCGCTTCCCCTTTTTTTAACCAATCAGCGACGAGAGAGCAGGCAGAGTAATCTGATTGGTTCAAACGAGGCACGGAAGACAGCAATAACACATGGTGCTGTGTGTGTGTGTGTGCAGCTCGTGCAATGTGAAAACTGTGTTTTATATAGATAAGAAACAAATGCAGAAAGTGTTTGAGGTGTTTGAATAGTAAAACGTGTAGTGACATTAATATTAACCCAGTAGAATCACTTCTGTTTTTATTGTTACTCAACAAAGTGCTCCTGCTGCTAACTGGAGGGCTAATGGTGACTGAACCCACCATTGGACCTGGACCTCATGTTGCCTGTTTGCTGTGATGTTGATGCTTCAGTAGAAGAGAGTGATCATCAGGAGATGGAGGCAGCAGCTCTGGTTGCTCCAGTCACAGCTGTGCAGTTCATTCACGATCTGTTTCTCCTCACAGGTTCGTTTCTAAACCGCTCACAATGGTTATTCTACTCATGTGCTTTTGATTATATTTTATTAAATATGTATTGTTATTCACAGTAGAGCTGGATGATGTGTGGTTAATCACCACTGTACTGTACAACATTGGGCTGTGTGAATTATATTAAGATAAACATTTACGTATCTGTTGATATCGATCATTATCACGATTAATGTCACATTCATATTTGAAATACTGATAAAGAGTAAAACATTTTACAAATCTGAAGTCAATACAATACCTCCTCACTGTGCTTACTCAATGCATACGCTCTATATATTGATGCATATTAGACTTTTGTTATTTAGCCATTGATGAAAATTACATTGCGATCATTAATTCATTGTTGATATTGTTTTATTTCCCAGCCCTAGTACAACCCTACTTAGGTTGTTTGTTTTTCTCTGCAGGTGAGGGTCCAGTCGTGACGGTGTACAGTCTCAAGCCTTGTCCTAAAGCGTCTGCTTCACTGAGTGTGCTCCAACACTACAGAATCCATGGAGTCACACCAAGACATCAAGACGCTGTCACAGCTCAGAAGAAACATGGTCAGAACGAGCAGATGTGGTTTAACACTTTCATTCTCAGTTCTGTTTGCTTATTGTTATGATGATTATTTTGGAATTGACGGGCAGATTTGATGAAGTAAGACAGACAAAACAGTCAAAACAAACAATAAACAGAACAAAACATAGGTTTTTAAAACGCTTATGCATTTATTTATATTGCACATAGCAACATTGCAATAAAAGTCCATAAAAGGAAGAGCAGCTGTGTCCATCCATGCACACACAATATCCCCATTAATGAATGGCTTCTTTCTCTCTTCTTACCCTGACTTGAAATACCATAGACATGGAGGAGTCAGACACTGGTGAGATAGTGAGGGGTGAGCCACTCATTGTGAGCTTCATAACCACGTCACAGAGGCAACAACAATCTTTATATACTGTCTATGGTTGCTTGTCGACTTCTTCTGTTATATTTCTGGTGGTACATGATGATTGGAATCTAAAAAGTAAAATGAGTATATGTTTGTCGAAGTTTACATGATGGGAATATTATCTTTGAAAAGCTGCTTTCTGGAGTTGTTGTTTTTGTGTTTATTTGCTCCTCTCATATATTCACAATATCCCTCTCCTCTGTCACTCCCCAGGACTGAGCTCCACCACACAGCCTAACTTCTGCGACCTAGCAGTGTTTGGGGGCAAGGCTGTGAGGCTGGTGAGGCTCCATATGGGTCTCCAGGATGGGGACCATCTGCACTTGGAGATCTTGGGTCCCCTCATGGAGTTACAGGACTGGGCCCTGGATGTTCGCTGGCTCTCTGCAGACAAACACTCACTTCTCTGTGTGGCTTTAGCTCACAATAGTGCTCTTCTCCTGGATGTCAACATGGGGACTGCCCTGGTTCATTGCTCCTGTCTGGAGGGATGTCTGCTGTACTCTGCCCTCCTGCTTGTCCATGAATCTTGGGCAGATGTGGTTTTAGTAGGAGGGACTGTTTTCAACCAGCTGGTTCTCTGGAAGCCTGGTGGAGGAGATGGAGGAGGAGACAGTTATTCTAAATGCAAAGCTCCAGTGGAGAGACGTCTGCTGGGGCACAGTGGGGTCATCTTCGACATCTCATACCTCCAGGAGAGGGGGTGGCTGGCTTCAGCCTCCGATGATCGCAGTGTAAGGGTGTGGGGTGTAGGTGTTTTAGGGGGCCCTGGGGGTAAATGTGGGGACCTGAATCCATCTTGTTTACGAGTCCTATATGGACACCAGGCTAGGGTGTTCTCTGTGTGTCTCTCCCCCGGGAAGGTGTTCAGTGCTGGAGAAGACGGGGCCTGTTTAGTCTGGGACTGGGCTGGAGGTGGGAAGGTGGCTCGGACATTGAAGGGACACCGAGCAGGGGGCGTGCGTTCACTGGCAGTCAGTGAGGGGACAGAAGATGAGAGATGGGTGGCTACAGGGGGGGCAGATGGAGGGGTGAGGTTGTGGAGGTTGAAGGAGGCTGAGGAGAAGACGGAGGAAGCAGTGACAGAGAAACTAACGGACCTGAAACTCCCCCACAGTATGCCTAAAGTGGTTTGTGTAGCAGGAGAAGAGGAAGAAAATGAAAGTTGGAGCCAGAGTAAGATCGTGGTTTGCACTGACCAAGGAACTATTTATCAATACAGCAATGGGACGTGGGAGGACTTATGGCAAGGGACTCCTGACTTTCATTCTTACTGTGCGATGGAAACAGTCTGCGTCAATGTGAAAGACTCCACAGCCAAAGTTAGTTTGTGTGCTGTAGGAAACCTCAGTGGGTCCATTCAGGTCTTCCCCATTTCTCATCCTCACGCTGGAATCCTCCTCTCAGGTGGTTCAGGGAAGATCCACAGTCTCATTTGGAAAGAGGGAGGCGCAGGCATGTGTTTGCTGGCATCGGGTGTCGAAGGACTCGTCTATCGCTGGTGTATAGAGGTAAAATTAAAAGAAGACCAATCCTTAGCCCTCAATGCCAATCCTCTTCTTCCTTTCCTTCTTCCCCCTTGCGCCAAACGGTGGCTGTTGGCAGCAGTGTGCCTCCGCTCCAGGTCACAGGGGGCGCTCTGGGTTTGCGGGGACAGGAGAGGGTCCCTGCTTTTATACCAAGAAGGAGGAAAAGTAGTGCCAAAGAAAGGAGATGATGCACAGGCCGATGAAGGAGAGGAAAACAAAAGTGATGGAGTTGGAAAAAGCAGTATCATGGAGCAGAGAGAGAATAGTGAAGTGCACAAACTACAGCTGCAACCTTTAAGCTGCCTGTTCGGGGTGCACGGAAAACAGGGTGTAACATCGGTGTGTGAATACGGAGGACTCCTCTACAGCACTGGCAGGGATGGCTGTGTGAGAGTTTTCAGAGTTCTACAAACACCACCAGCAAAACCGGAAGAAAACAGTAAAAATAACGCTGAAAAGACTGCAGAGAACAACAAGCAGCTTCAGCTGGAGGTGCTGCGAGTTCAGCGGGCCTGTAAAGGTATGGAGTGGCTGGAGAGAGTTCTGATTCTCCAACCTGATATTCCAGAGGAAGAGGCGGCCAGAGAAGAATGTGGGATTCATTCTAAGATGAAAGGAGAAGATGCACAGGCAGGAAATGAGGCAAGAGAAGCCAGGTTTGTCATCGCTGGCTTCCACGCTGTCCACTTTGTGGTCTGGGACCCGGTGAGGCAGGAGAGGCTGTTTGCGGTGCCTTGTGGTGGGGGGCATCGCTCTTGGGTTCTCTGGCCTTCACACAAAAGAGTTTGGCCTGGATATGGAGCTTTGGTCTTCATCAAGCACGGGGCTGTCCTGGCTTCACATCCTCCCGGAGAGGAAGCACGCTTGGCCGGTAGGACAGGAAGGACTGGAGGATGGGGTCTGAGAGAGGGCATCCACGGGAGGGGGGTCGGGTGTGTATGCAGGCTGGGGATGATAGAGGGAACAGGCTGTGACATTCAAACAACTGCAAGTATGACGGAAACTAAAAGAAAGGAGGTGGAGCAAGAGCATTGGGAGGTGTTGGTCACAGGGGGAGAGGACACCAGCTTAACCATCCTCGCGGTACATCCCAACTCCGGCAACATCAAAGTTCTCTCAGTAATTACAGACCACATCTCGAGTGTAAGGACAGTGACAGCAATAAAGCATGCAGGGGGAGAGAGTGTTCATCAGTCACAGTCTCTCTCCGCCTTGCTCTTCTCAGCCGGCGGCCGGGCTCAAATGCAGTGTTACCGGCTGTTGATTGGCTGGGACCAGCAGAGATTGATTCCTTCCTGTCAGGTGATCCAGGTGGCCAGTCACCGGCTGGATGAACAGTGGGAGAGGAGGAGGAACCGACATAAGACGGTGAAAATGGATCCAGAAACAAGGCAAGTTCATGGTTGTAACGTTGGAGACGATGATACAAAGTGAAGAACATAAAGAAGCTTCAATGTTGCTTCACCGCTGTTACTGCACACATGTAAAGAGTCATACCATTAAGAATTCGACAACCTCTAGCTTGTGTCTTATTCTTTTTCCTGTTCTTTAATCTCCTCTTTTTTTAGCTGCTTTCAGACATGCACTGGTTAGTAGCTGTTTGTGCTCTTGTCCGAAAGAGCCTGTTTGAGAAAACGGCAGGATTCACCTTGAGCGAGTGTTGATGCATCGTTTTAATCACACGTGATGGACTCAAAACTGACAAGCCACAAAAATCCAAAATGTATCTCAGGATGAAATAGAGGTGCTGTACACATATGTATCAGACACAGACGAAGATGTCAACTCGGAAAGTCAACGAGATTCTGGTGATAAGGGGTCGACGCTGGTCTTGATGTGTTGTTAACACAAACGTGACCTCTGCAGCAGAATTACAAAGTTACGTCCGCCCTGCTGCACCACCACTCACCTGAACGTTTCACAGATTTCTGTGTTGTTTTGAACATGTCTGACCCAGAGAATCTCCTGCTCTGTTGTTCTTGCGCGAAAGACAAACTCTGGAGATAGTCCAGACTCAATTGTGTGGACTTTCTGCGGATTTCATGACAGATGATAGATTACATGTAAATCCTGTTTCTGCATCTACCTCTGTCCTACCAGTTGTGTCTGTGTGTTTTCAGGTACATGTCCATAGTGGTGGTGGATGAGAGGACAGACTGTGTCCTTCTGGCTCTGGCCTGCAGTGATGGAGCTGTCAGGTTGGTCCCGGCACAGCAGACACCTGTTCTACACAGCAGGAGAACAAAGAAAACACAGAATCTCTCCAGCTGTTTTAAAGTGTTTTAATGGATATTTCTTTACTGCAGCCAAGACTGTTCAAGCAATTTTGGGGGCACCAGGCAAAACAAAGAACACATAAGTAATAGGAAAGTAGTATAAAGTAATGAAGTTCAAATACAAACCCCCACCTCCATCTGAGGCCAACAAACCTCTAAAATGATGACAGGCAGAATGTTAGTAGTATTTGGCCTCAGGGGTTTCTGATCATGGTGTCGTTGCCATCTCCTGTATAGCCGATCACAGATCGCAGACTTTGTTTCATCGCCCCTGGCTGCAGCACTGACACAGTTGAAATGTGGTTGAAATCAGGTTACTTGGTCTAAATGAGTTGTTAAAACTCAAAATTGTTGTCGTTTCTCTCCCTTGAGATTCTGTCAGTTCAATATTGAGTAACCTTGTTGTGTTGGTTAATTCATCGTCATAGTAAGCCGTCCATCCTTTGTCCTTCGCTGACCTCCATCACTGTCTTTTCCAGACTGTTCTCTGTCAGTGAAGTTAAACGTCGGATTGATTTGTTGTGGGAGACGTTTCACCACCAGCGCTGTGTGCTCAGTGTCGCCACCTGCAGCCTGGAGGACAGAAGCGGCAACAGGTGAGCCATGTTTGATCTGCCCAAAGTGAACTCATTCATTCACCTCATTGCAACTTATTGGTTGTCTTCCCAACTAATCCAAACCAATGATAGTTTTTAATGTAATTTATTTTAAAACACAATTTTGGAAACGAGCAGTAACAGACTGAATACAGGGAAGCACTAACTACCTGTGTCGGGAACATGTGCAGGAAACCAACTCTAATGTACAGTAATGTTTAAATCTATAACACTGTCCTCTCTCAGGTATAAGCTGCTGTTCAGTTCTGCAACAGATGGCAAAATTGCAGTTTGGGATTTGACTGACGCTTCCTCCTCAAACGATACTTCGAGCAAAGCTCCGACTCCACCGATCCCCTGCCTCAACATTCCTGCCCACCAGAGCGGCATCAACTCATTGGCTGTTTGTGCAGAGGAACTGGGACAAGAAGAAGTCGGTTGCCTGGTAACTGTTGCTAGCGGAGGGGATGATGGGCAGCTGACAGTGTCCACGATCAGGGTGCAGTACCCAGAAGACGGGCAGACTGGGGGCAGTAGAGGGTTTTCTGAGATTTCACAAACCCAGTTCCAACCCCTGAACCAGCTCCAGCTTCATCTCCACGGTCACTCCCACATCCCACTGGCCCACGCTGCGCCTATTACCGCCGTAAAGCTCCTGACCCCAGGCCTGGTGGTCTCTACTTCTTCAGATCAGAGGGTTTGCCTGTGGAGGGTCTGCAGTACCGGTATCAGCCACAGAGAGACGCTATGCTCCCATGTTGCTGATGCCGCAGGACTTTCTGTGTGGGAGGGGCAGATGATGGACAGAAAGGAAGGAGATGAAAACACAATATTTGAGTCTGAGGAGATTTCAGTTTGTGGAGAAGTGATTGAGGCAGGATTACAAACAGAAGAGAAGAGCACAGAGGCGGGTGGGAGGTTCTGTAAGGAAACAGAAGATGAGGCTGAGGCTGGAGAACCTGTTGAAGCAGTGAGAATGACAGGTGACCCAGATTGTGACAGCAGTGATGAGAGAGGAGGCGAGACAGGAAATCAAACACACACTGACAGCGTGGTTAAGAGAGAGAGTGAGGTGACAGATTGTTGTGAGAGCAGGAAAAAGAGAGGGAAGACGGGATGGGTGCTGGTCTGTGGTCAGGGCCTCCAGCTGCTCCGAGTCACAGACACACGGACAGAGGGAAGAATAAAAAGAGAGAAAAACAGAAAAATGAATCACACGGTCAAAGTGACTTTACAAGACAAGTCAAAGTAAGTGGAAATCACAGTGGTCGGATTATCTGAATGAACATGTTTTTTGACATTATTTATAAATCATCTGTAAAATGATCGTAAAATGAAGTAGTAGGAAATAATATTCAATTGATTTTTCATTTGTAACTTTTAAAGAACAATTTTATTAAATGATTTTCATTCTCCAGCTTTTACAAAGCATCAGAAATTGCTCATTTTTAGATTCAACAGAGAGACAGACAGACAGAGGGAGAAACATTTTCAAAGCTGTATGAAGAAAGATGAAGCTGTTTAAATTTGTCATTAATTACAGCCAACCTTAAGAAAACCCACAGAAAATAGATGTGGGCCGATCTCGATTTCCTTTTGCACAGTGACTGTCTTCAAAAAGCATTTGGGGTTCATCAAGAAAAAATAAAACTTCATGACTATTTCAGTGAATCATTAAAACCATCTCTGATGTGTTTGAGCCCCTTTCAAGGAGAAGCACCACTCTTGTTTTTTTATACAGTATGTAACATCTCAGCCAGGAAATAAAGCATTTTTTTACTTGAAAAGACTCTTGATACTGAAGAAATGTGAAATAACAAGGACAAACCAAAGGCAGCCTTCACTAAATGTCTCAATGCACCAAAATCCACAAAGAAATTTGGAGATTTATGGTTTAAATGTAATTAAGAGTTCAAGCAACATCCCCTCTAATGCACGCATTTGAGCAAAGAATTTCATTCAGGTTTATTTAGAGAGGAGCTGCGTAATTAAACTAAGTTGACAGTATATTTTACAAAAGAAAATACTTTATGCGAATCATACCAAGTGATCTCAGATTGAAACAATTGGTCCAATAGCTCAGCATTTACCAACCTAGGAGATAGAAAGTATAGTTGCAGATGGGAGATTGGGTGATTTTTTTTTTTCTTCTCATGATGCTGGATGTATTTTTCTTCATTTTATTACTGAAAATGGTCAAATTAAAGGATCAGCTTGGCTTATGAGCCCTTAAAGTGTTTTCAGTTTTCATTTATTGAATTACTTGGCTGAGGGTTATAATTGGGTTTAGATGAATGTATGGGTTTAGCATTGGTGCTTTCACGTGTATAGAAATACCATGTATTTTTGTAATTCATGGTATTACACACAGTTTTGTGTAATAGTATTTATATTTTGATTATTACAAATTATTAAAAAAGTGTGTGAAAGGGTTGAGACTTGCTTCTAGGGTTAGGGTTTGGGGCCACTAAGTGTGTCTGTGTATATATATATATATTCACACAGGCTTGTGTGTGTATATGCTTGAGTGCATTGTGATATGAAATGCTAACACTGTCTGAGTGGTAGGTTGGTATGGGACTGTCTGTGGAGTTATTTGCATATCTGATGTGTGTCTGGTATGTAAATGTGCTGTGTCAGATGGAGTGTGAGTCTGCAAGCAGCATGTTCACCTGTGCAACACTGTAGGTCAGAGTGAATGTGTGTCTGATGATTCACTGTCAGCTGATTGGAATTTGACAGATGAGGTGGACACCTGTATCATTCGTGTGCATGTGTGATGGCTTAAATGCTATATTGAATCAGAAACTCATGAAGGTGTCGATTGCAATATTTTAGCTTTGTCTCATGTTGCCTTTGAGGAATGAGGAAAAGAGAGTGACTGAACAGTAAATGAGGAGAGGGGAGGAGAAATGATGGAGGGACCTGAGGAGACAAAGGTCAGGAGGAAGGAAAACGATTTTACGAGACCTTATTCTCACAGAAAATGTTATGCTGTAAGTGAGAAATTGGTTATTCAGAAGCCTCATTCTAAACTGCAGTTAGAGGGAGAATTGGTGGAGGAGCATCTTGATGTCGCTGTGGAGCTGTTGGAACCAAACAGCAAAATTACTGATAGAGCACAAGATATTAAGACATAAAAAATGTCACCTTTTTGGGTGTATGTTTACTGCAGAGTTTGATACCCGGAAGTAATTACCATTTTTGTGAGTCATGCATGCTGTGTCACAATTACAGCTGAAACACATTTACATTTAATTTTCCACTCTGACAGAACACGAACCTGATATGACGTCTGAACGTGCTGTTGAGTTTACAGAACTCCATCAGATGTATGTCACCTTTCAGTCAACAAACGATATTGAACAAATTTGCCGTGTCAATAAATTTAAAACCAGCTGATGTGCCACAACCTACATGATATCATTGAGCTTAAAATTCCCCTCAGCTCCACATTGACTTATGTGTGGAGGATTTTCTGATGTGAGGAGTTCTTTTTAAAAAAAACTGACTCCAGCGACTGACAGACCCAAGTCTGGAAAACAAGCTACGGGTAGCATCATCATCACGATCCTCTGACGTCAGACACCTGGCCAAAGAGAAGCAGCTCCATCCATCAGAGAGGTTAGTGTGATATTTGTTCACTAATTCTAATTGTTATTGGCTCTCAAGGGTTGTTCTGACAATTGAAATTGTCTTTGAAAGTCAAACCTCTGATGCTCTTTACTGTCACTTTATATAAAGTCAGCATTGTTGTCCATGTCAGGATCCTGAAGCAATAACAGTGATCGGATTACACTGTAGTTGAGATGTTGACAGGTTTTCATCTGATGTCAATAAAAACCTGTGATGGTAATTCTTTATTTCTTCACCTAAATTAGATTGAATAGATTAAACAATGGATTTGGATGAAGTGTTAGTTACAAAGATTTTTCACATATGCAATAAACATTAAATGACCAGAGGAAGCTTTATCATACAAACAGCTGAAAAGACACATTTTGGATTATTATGAATTTTAAAAATGATTGCTGAGGTATCAGCATTAGAGCAGCTGGTTATCTTAAAATAATGCTAAGAAGACAGTTAAAGCCAAGTTCAGGGAATTTAATCTGATGGAAAACTACAGTTGATTGAATTTAAGACCGAAGGACCACTCTACACACACAGGATGGTGCTGTTTGAAGGAAGACTTTAGGTGGAAGATTTTATATGACCTACCACCCATTACATTACCAACCTACCTTACCTACTGTATGCAAGCATAGAACTAAACATGATTTCTGTTTATGTTACAGCTGGTGTTCACCATGGCAGAAAGATGGATGCCTTACAGCGTCCACAGGAAGATCCTGGATGAAGAGGCTGTCGATGATATGGCAGGAAAAACTGAATCAAAAACACAGACTCTGTTTGAGAAAGTCAAAAAGTCAATGAGGTAAAACTCCTTACAACTGTGCATCTCAACTTGTCTCGCTCTCTGTAATGATGTTAAATCATCGTTTGAACTATTTAGATTGAAGCGATTTTAGGGAGGCAGGTCATTTCACTTTTCTTTTGTGATTTAGTTCAGCTAGTGAACTCTGATTTATTTGCTCTTGCTTGATTCATGTTCTACCCTGATTGATACATAAATGAATTCTGTTTGGACTGCATACAGTTGTGCTACTGTTCGAACACACTCTCCTCACCCAGGCTGCACCTTAATTCCTCTCCATTAATGTCACAGACATAATCATCAATAATCAGAATCTTGGAAGAGTCCACCGGAATCGTTTGGTTATACTAGGACTGAACGTCCAGCAGTAACCCACGCAGGGTCCCCTGGGGGACATGTTCATGCGCAAGTCATTCCACAAAACAAATGTAGACTGGACGGTCATTCCCATATGACTCCTTCAGCACTCCAACAAGAGTAAAAAGCTGGTTCTCTGTTCCAGAACCAGGACGGCCAGAAATATTTGGTGGAGCAAATGCATAATTTACTCAAATCCTCACTTCAATGGTTTGAGCTTAACTGAAAACAAATTGACAAATCAAGAGGAAAAACAATTGCTTGATTACTGTTTTAGTAGGTGGGGAACAAGAAGAGACTTATCACATATCACATTACCGATATCAATGCATAGCCCAAAGACATATTTTTCTCTCTCTCTTCTTTTGCTGTCTGTCACTCTGACATACAAACTCAGGTGTTCTGCTCCCTGCCTGAAGAGCTTCCTGCTGCGTAGCATTCCTCTCTTATCATGGCTGCCTCGTTACCCCATCAGAGAATATGCCATTGGTGACCTGATCTCTGGAATCACTGTGGGGATCATGCAGCTACCGTTTGGTGAGGTTTAGAAGTTAGAGATACTGTGAGGGGGTGGAGGGTTCTGCAGTGTTCACATCGCTGTATTTCCCCACTACATTACTCTATTATACAATACCTTCTGAATTGAAACACTAACCTGGAATGTAATGAATATTTATTCCGTGTTTTTCCTGTAGGTATGGCCTTTTCCTTGCTGGCATCTGTTCCTCCAATCTTTGGCCTTTACTCCGGCTTCTACCCCGTCCTTATTTACTTCATCTTTGGCACATCCAAGCACATCTCAGTAGGTTTGTACTACTGCATCTGCACACGTAGGAATACATTTACTGTTAGACATGCTGATAAAACAAGATGGAGCAGGCTTAATAACTGAAATAATGTTTTTTTGGCCTCTCTACAAGGTAACAGTATGGTAAGCATACATTTATATTTTTCATTTGAAGCTCAAGACATTTAGGAAGTTACATTTTCTGGTTCTTTTTAAGGTAATTCAATTTGTTCACAGAGAACCTTCATATTGATGTATGGAATGCATTAGTAATTCTTTTGTATGGCCCGAGAGATTTGGGGAAGAACCAAGTCACCAATCCCTTTTTTCAAAATAGGAGCCGTTACCCTGGTCTGCCAATCCTCCTCACCATTGTTATTCCGAATCACTTTCAGGCTGAACCCTCCTCTGGGACCAATTTGCCTTATGAGGCCTTTTAATGAGGTCAAAGGAAATGTCTCTTAAAATATTAATGGTGTCTTCCTTCTTCAGGAGCATATGCAGTGGTGGGTGTGATGATAGGAGCAGTGGCAGATCGACTTATCCCAGACTCAGACTTCATGATATGGGACAATGTGACCAACTCCAGCATAGTTCACACCACGTCTCGGGATGCAGCGAGGATTCGAGTGGCTGCAGCTGTCACCTTCTTCTCTGGAGTATTTCAGGTTAATATTGATAATTAGATAGCTTGTTTATTTTGACAGTTTATGTAGCATGAGCGGGGGCTTGCTTTAGTTTCTGATCTTTTCTTTCCATGCTGTGAGTTTACAGGTTCTCAGGCTAAAAGGCCAAATTATTCTAAATTATATAATAATAATAATGTTGGCTTATACATTTCTGCTGAATTTAACAAGATGGATTGAGTAGTGTGTTGGAAAGAGCTGTATTTGGGCACAGCTTGTGCAATACTGTAATGCTTCCATAAATGTTAGCTTTGTTTTTGCATCATAATGTAGATCAATACAGGATGTGAGTGTGGAAGTTGGAGGCATCTTATTCACACCGGCTCACTAGTGACAGTGAATCATAAGAAACTAAGGTGTCAAATATAAATATGACTTTCTTTCAGCTACATGTAAACAGCCACTGTGAACCTCCACGTGTTTCAATCTCTGTTGCATACATTGTACTGTAGATTCTGCTCAGTCTGGTCCGGTTTGGTTACCTGGTGACGTACCTGTCTGAGCCTCTGGTCCGAGGTTACACCACTGGAACAGCTTTTCACATCATTGTTTCCCAGCTCAAATACACCTTTGGCATCAACCACGTGAGACACAGTGGATCATTCTCACTGATATATGTAAGGAAGAACACAACCTCCGACATTAACATATTGCAAATTTTGTTTATTGTAAGAGCAAGAAAATGACTTTGACTCCAGATAATATCTTTGAAAGTCCTTGTTCTGTCCCAAAAAAACAATGATGATGTGAACTGAAGAAAATCAAATCTGCATGTTCAAGAAGCCAGAGTCAGGGAGTGTTTGTCGTTTGTGGTTGATAAATTTTGATAACAATACAATATTCGAAATGACTATTGATTATTTTTCTTTGAATGAGTGAGTTCATTTGCTTCAGTGCTATTTCAAAGCATTTTTATCTTTGGATATTAACAATTGTCCAAGTCCTTTGAGATTTCTACATATAAGAAAACAGTAATGTAACTGCTAAAGAACTTTTTGTAGGATTGTGAAAATTATAATGCTCTCTGTGTTTGCTTTATCAAAAACTTGTTGTGCACCCTGAATGAAAGGCACATAGAGGGGGGATGTATTTCCTGTCCACTTTTTCTCTCATTCCTCCTCCGTAGCAAGTATTTAACCAATAATCCTGCTCTTTATCTCTCTCCAGACGGTGCTAGAGTGTTGTTATCTCATTCCACAAACAAACATTGGTACTTTGGTGGTTAGTGCTGTCACCATAGTCTGCCTTATTCTTGCTAAGGAGCTCAATGCATACTTGAGTAAAAAACTACCTGTTCCTATACCTGTGGAGCTGCTGGCTGTGAGTATCCAGGGATAAGTACATGTACTCATCATTCACGTCAAGGATATTTAGTTCCTTACACAGATTAACACACACAAACACACACACTCATCTCTTATTTGCCTTTCCAGGTGATTATTGGTACAGTCATCTCCTGGCAAGTGAACTTGGAGGAGAAATATGGAGTGGATGTGGTGGGACTCATTCCCTCAGGGTGAGAAATGTAACATAAAGCTACCCACAGCAAATATACAGGAATCTGTGTTTTTGTGAAACAAGGACTATTTGCATTGGACAATTTAATCCTTGTTTCTCTTTTCTTTCTTCATACCAGTCTCCAGCCACCGGTTTTCCCAGACATCTCTTTGTTTGCTCAGGTGAAAGGGGACGCCTTTGCTGTGTCTGTGGTTGGCTATGGCATGGTCATCTCACTAGGACAAATTTTCGCCCTGAAATATGGATACAAGGTGGACAGCAACCAGGTAGGGAGGTGAAAGATGGATACAGTGATTAACTGTTGTTTTAAAAGGATTGCCCTCATAAATAGTGTGTTTTTCATGGTTTAGGAACTAATCGCCCTGGGTCTGAGTAACTCTTTTGGAGGAATTTTTCACAGTTTGTCCGTCAGCTGCTCCATTCCTCGAACTGCGGTTCAGGAGAGCACAGGAGGGAAAACTCAGGTTGGTATGAGTCATTTTTTTGTTGAAATAGCCTTTAGAAAGATTCGTGCCTTTTTAAAGAGGGAGGTGAAAATAAAGGTACAGAGAGAAGAGAAGAGAGAAAAGAGTCACTGTATAGAAATTTGTGAGTCTGCTTTCAGAGACCCCTACTGAGTGCCACAAACCTGGACCATCACAAAGATCATGCATTGTGGAGACTGGTCATATTTACCATTACTCAGAAGAGTGGCATCATTGAAAAAAAACCTTGACTGATTGATTGATTGATCACGTTGTTGAATTCTTCCAATATGAGAGGAGAAGAGAGGAGAGACTTTAATGATGATGCCTTGATTTGTCTTACAACTGTAAATTATAAAGCTCAATACTGTATACTGTGTATACTTTAACTTACATTCATGTACAAATGTAAATCTATACATACCCGGTTTTTATTTCTATATATGTATATCTTTCACATCTTTCTCAGGAGCTCTGTAACATTTGAATTTCCCTACGGGGATTAATAAAGTACTTCTGATTCTGATCTAATATCATGTACCAGTTCATACTGTAAATCTCTCTGACTGATCTCTCCCATGATTTTGATTCCTTGTTCCTCTCTTCCCTTTTTCTTCATCACAGGTTGCTGGAGCTCTATCAGCAATAGTTGTCCTTATTACCGTGCTTTGGATTGGGGCTCTCTTTAAAGATCTGCCCAAGGTATGTTAATATATGTCTGTGTGTATTTGCATGAACGTTTGTAGATGTTTGCTTGTGCTCACATCTGGGCACAATCTTAAGGTCATATACCATAAGAACATAAGAAAAACACACACAACTACTTGAACTACATGCAGGGTTTATTTCAGAAAAACTAACTTCCTGTCATGTTACAGGAATCCAAATTGGAGTTCTCCGTATGAACTGTGTTCTGTTTGACTTTGTAGGCAGTGCTGGCTGCCATCACCTATGTCACCCTCCAAAGCACGTTAAAGCAATTCCTGGACATCCCTGTACTGTGGAGAAAAAACAAATTAGATGCAGTGAGTGAACTTCAGACGGCAACATGGATGATGTTTTGAGAAGATATTCAGTATTAAAGAACATTTTAGTATCTGGACAAATAAATCCAGAAATCTATGTCTGTTCTGTAATGCAAATACAAAGCCACCATCACTGGTAAATACATAGTCCAATATTAAGTGTTTTTTGGCTTCATTTCCATAATCAGACTACAAGATTAGCAAGGTTACATTTTAAAAGTCATGGGAGTATGCCCAACACTTGCAAAAGGTAGTTGTTTCAGTTTGCTCTTACAGTGCAATGCAGTTCAAGTGCATGTGTTACACCTGGTCCAGGCAAATTTGCTTAAACTGATTCAGCTACAATTAGGACTTGCGTCACATCAGGGCCTTTCCCATGGCTACACAATCAAGTCTAATTTCATGTTTTCCACAACTGCTGCTGAGAATCACAGAAGAGCACAGTTGCATTTTATTTCCACTACGTTAACGACTCAATATAGTTTTGCTGTATTATTCATCACTCTCTCCCTGTTTTTCCCAGGTAATCTGGATGGCCACCTTCATCTTCACCTTGCTGCTGAACCCGGACATGGGACTAGCTGCTGCCATCGGCTTCTCCATGCTCACTGTCATCTTCAGGACACAGCTGTAGGAACACAATGACCCACCGAACCATAATTATAGACTAACAATGACTTAACATTTAGACAACATATCAAACTGAACATTCATCTATCAAACACCCAACAATTATCTAACCTTCACTTTCTAGACGACATCAAAACACAAAGTGTGTAATCAAAGTAACAGGACTTGATTTTGTGTGTATTACAGACCTAAATATTCTCTGCTGGGGCAGGTCCCTGGCACTGACATTTACAGGCCACTGGAGGAATACAATCAGGTATGACACAATGTATTTACCTCAAAACAGGACAAGCATCCGACCAGACATGGTCAGAATGTACAGAGAATAATTGAAGAGTTCAGAGTTACCTGTCATAGTTAGTAATATCTGTGGGCATTTTGCAATTCAAACTTCTGCCTCAGTTTCAGAGTCTAGAGATATGAACCACTGTCTAATCACACACCACTCTGCATTTTACTCCTACAAACAAAATAAGTTATTTTCAGCAAATTTCCAAAAATAAACTAAAACTTCACTGTTTAATGTTTCTGTTGGTCAGCAGCTTCGGAGTTTTAAATGGGAAAAGTCTTTGTTTTGTAATATTACACCTGGGGTACACCACTCTATTTCAATAGGGAATGAATTAGAATAACAATACATTGTTGAACAATGAATAAGACAATACAACAGTGAAGTATAATCTGTATATAAGTCTATAATATAATCAGTTAAGAAAACTACATCTGTTTAACTACAACCTTGTAGCTTTGATAATATTCGCATGTAGTTAAAAGTTGTGATTTGTAGGAACTTTGGACAATAGCTGAATAACTGTAAGATAGAACCTCAGCATGTTAACTTTTATTGTGCTTTGAACACGTTAGCGTTATGATTTTAGCATTTAGCTCAGGGCCGTGCTTGAATACAGCATTGTTCAAACATGTGTGGAAAAGTGCTACGTTCTTCTCAATTCTTTTCACTTTGTATATTGTGTTATCATGAACATCTATTGGTGGAAATGTAAAGATTTATCTGCTTGTTTTTTTAAATGTATTATCTTCTTAACTTAATGATTTTAGTTGAGGCCGGTACCGGGGATTTTGATCTTCCGTTCCTCTGCTACACTATACTTTGCTAATGCTGAGATGTATCAAGATGCCCTGGGAAAGAAGGTGAGTACACACACACACACACACACACACACACACGGACAAGGACAAGGACAAGGACAACAACCAAAACAACCAACACCACTCTTACAACCCAATTTCGGATACTAATTACTGACCCCAATTTTGCAACAATTCAGTCATCATGGCCGTAACAGTAATTATTTAAATAATAATGGCTGTGATAACGGAAGCTGAAGAGGGAATGGACAGATTTTATTTAATGGTACTTATTAAGCCAGATTCCAAAAGGTCAGGTTATTGAGCACATGCTCCTGCCTGCTGCTGGTTATACAAGGCTGACATCACTCGCTCAGTTAAAGGAATTGAGTCATTTTAACTGACGTGCCAAAATAAACATTTGTGTGTTGAGTGTGACTCCACAGTATTTACTTCAGCAAAACATTTTCATCTGAATATTGCTGTCTACTCTCACATGATCAGGGATTCACATAACGTTTTGCATGTTCTCTCCTCTTGCTTTAAAAAAAAACCTGAGGTATTTCAGAATAACTGATGCACTTTAAAAAATCAAGACTCTGCTTTTTTACACAAAACCTTTTTAAAATTCAGTTTTATAGCCGTATGCTCGTTCCTCCAAAACATATGTTTTCATGAATGAAGACATTAACACCTGTTAGTTCTCATCTTGACCAACCAGAAAGTTATTTGTAGTTACTCTGGAAGATAAAATAAAAAAATTTGACTGATGTGAACTTTGTCCCGATTGTTTTTTACTGTTTCTATTAGTCTGACATTGATATTGCCAAGATCCTGTCAGCAAAGAAGAAACTGGAGGTCAAAAAGAAGAGGATCGAGAAGGACAATGCCAAGAGAGCCAAGAAGAATGGAACAAATATGGTGAGAAAGACCAGATGTAGTTCATGTATGAAAATGTATGTTTTTATTTCTTTTACGAGAGGATTATTCCTAGAAAGACCTTCATTGTCTAAATGTTGCCTCTGATGTGAGTCATGGTTATGTCTCCTCTTCAGGAGCCAGAGCAGATGGACATTGCTGTTATTAAAATGGATGAGCGTGAGCCCACATACCCACGAGCCATCGTTCTTGACCTCAGCCCTGTGAACTTCCTGGATACTGTGGGAATCAAGGCGCTACAAAATGTAAGATAATGGCAAGAAAGAGAAATAATCAGTCTGAGTCAAGTCACTTTTACACGTACAACAATGTAACTCTTTTGTATGTATTACATATTTGAATGTCTTATAAACAAACTTTTGTGTCTATCTATTATTCTGACAACATTAATAGGTTAATGTTAATTAAACTGATCCAAACATTTAAAGAAATCTCTGGACAGAAACAAAAAGGTAGAAAGTTTATAAAGTTAAGTTCAGAACTTATGATGATATTCCTCTTAACATTAGAAAAATGATTCAAGACTCTAACGTCTTATCTTGTCATATCATCACTCTATAAATGTTTAACTCATTTTTAAATACTGTTTTTCTCTTGCAACTACAAATTATACTCCATTTATCCCTCTGTCCCTCTCCTTGTCATTTAGATCCTCTGCATTTCAGATACAGCACATTGAATCATCAGACCAGTTAAAGGAACCCCTGTCTGACCTTTGCTTTGTGTTGTTGTTACAGATCCAAAGAGACTATGGAGAAATTGGTATCGAGGTGGTTCTTGCTGGCTGCCAAAGTAAGTGTATCTAGATTTAGACAAGTAGTGACTGTGGTTAAGGTTAGGGTAAGTCTCCAGGAAATCAATGTCAGTCAATACAATGTCCTCTGAACTCACTTAGACACATCTATAAATCAGCACTGAACAAAACTTGAGATTTCTGATATTGTTACTTCATTGTTCCACAGGATATTTGTTGTTATTGTTGTTGTTACACAAGATCATGGCACAAAGCATCACTATTTAAGAAAGTAGAATCAATGTCCACCAATTGCATGTGTAGGATCCTGTCACGCAACACAACAGTCTTCCTCTTTGTGAAGATCCATTGTGTTGCTCTGCAGTAATGGCAGAGCATCTGCTCCCCCCCCCCAGTGTGCAAATGTCCTTTAATGCTATTTGCACCTTTAATTTGGTTTTATCACTCCATTGACACTTCATATGCTGACATGCCCATTGTCTCTTTCAATCGTCCCACCATTCTCCATACACAACTCTGTGTTCTTTCATTTTTCTCTCTCCTTTGTCTCTTTCCAGCTGGTGTGGTGGACAACCTGCAGTCTGGAGGTTTCTTCAGTGACAAAATGACCAAGTCCTCTCTGTTCTCCACCATCCATGATGCCATTTTGTACTGTCAGTCTGCCAGAATGAAAGATGAGGTGACTGTATGAGCATCAGACATAAGACATACATTCAAAATCACAGTGCAATTTGATGGAAAACAGAGAAACAAAGTGTGTGGAGGCATTTCTCCTTCCTTGTCACAAGCTTATATCATTGAAATGTATCTTCCTGAGGGGGAATCATGTTACAAAACATTATTATATAAAGAAACAAAGCTCAGCACCATGCACATGTTAGTGAGTATTACTAAAAAATAATTTCTTCTGTAGAAGTGGCTATAGAACTTTCAAGGAATATTTTGTAAAATATGCTCATTATGTTTTTTGCTAATTGTCAGATTGTCTATTAAATATGCAATAGCACCATCAAGGGTGGTCAGGGGCACCCTGATACAATTACGGGCCACTTAATACATGTGATATTTTATAGTTTGTTAGCTACCATTCATCTAAATTAATGATGGATATTTTTCACACTAAATAATGTTATAGAAAATAACGAGAGTGCACACTGACCTCTTAAGTGTAACAGAGACCCAGTGACAGTCAAGGGTGCGATCTCTCTGAAGAGACTTTATGGGTGTTTTGACACAGGATTTCCTCCCTGTGCTGCCAATGGAGAGGACAAGGCAAAGAGTATTTCTAGAATGAAGCATCGGCAGAAAACACAAAGTTAGAGATCTCATGTTAATATGAGTGTAAAATATTTTGGTTAATTTTCAAAGTGTAGCTGTGTTTCCCATTGTGTTGGTATATGGTCAGACTAGTTTTTAGTTAGCTGCTCTGCTCCTTTACATTAAAACTCTCTTGACATGTCTTTTAAAACTGGGCTGTTTTTTTTTTCTTTCTCCATCTTTCTTCCACTTGTCTTTCTTCTTTTATCTGTTTTAAAAACTTCTCTTTATTGAACTTATTCTTCACAGGAGACCGTGGTGACAGTGTTCTGAGTCCTGAGAGAAAAGATGGAGGACATTATGAAAAATGACAGAAACTGATGTTATCCTCTGAGCTTCAGATAACTGGGACCTCTGTCTGTCACAAGCAAAGACACACACGCACGCACAAACACACGCGCACACACACACACACCTACAGTCAAGCAGTAAACAACATAAACACTTGTAGTTAAAGCATATTGACACACTGACATTTTTTTTGGTGATGTTTTTTGCCAACATTTTAAAATGAAGTTATTACATTACATTGACATTTAACTAGTAATAATCACCACTTCTCTTTATTGAACTTATTCTTCACAGGAGACCGTGGTGACAGTGTTCTGAGTCCTGAGAGAAAAGATGGAGGACATTATGAAAAATGACAG